ACTGTCGTTTTTTTTTCGGGTCGAAATTTTGAAATTCGATATCTCAGCTCTGGAAGGGTCTAGAGCCTCCATTTTTGCACTCAGGTCAAAGTCTCGCGCCCCTCTATCAGAATCCAGAGTTTTGAGAAGATTGGAGAAACTTCATTTTTTCGCCTAAAAATGAAAAAAAAACGAAAGGGGTAACACTGTCGTTTTTTTTCGGGTCGAAATTTTGAATTTCGATATCTCAGCTCTGGAAGGGTCTAGAGCCTCCATTTTTGCACTCAGGTCAAAGTCTCGCGCCCCTCTATCAGAATCCAGAGTTTTGAGAAGATTGGAGAAACTTCATTTTTCGCCCGAAAATGAAAAAAAAAGAAAGGGGTAACACTGTCGTTTTTTTTTCGGGTCGAAATTTTGAATTTCGATATCTCAGCTCTGGAAGGGTCTAGAGCCTCCATTTTTGCACTCAGGTCAAAGTCTCACGCCCCTCTATCAGAATCCAGAGTTTTGAGAATATTGGAGAAACTTCATTTTTCGCCCAAAAATGAAAAAAAACGAAAGGGGTAACACTGTCGTTTTTTTTTCGGGTCGAAATTTTGAATTTCGATATCTCAGCTCTGGAAGGGTCTAGAGCCTTCATTTTTGCACTCAGGTCAAAGTCTCGCGCCCCTCTATCAGAATCCAGAGTTTTGAGAAGATTGGAGAAACTTCATTTTTCGCCCAAAAATGAAAAAAAACGAAAGGGGTAACACTGTCGTTTTTTTTTTCGGGTCGAAATTTTGAATTTCGATATCTCAGCTCTGGAAGGGTCTAGAGCCTCCATTTTTGCACTCAGGTCAAAGTCTTGCGCCCCTCTATCAGAATCCAGAGTTTTGAGAAGATTGGAGAAACTTCATTTTTCGCCCGAAAATGAAAAAAAACGAAAGGGGTAACACTGTCGTTTTTTTTTCGGGTCGAAATTTTGAATTTCGATATCTCAGCTCTGGAAGGGTCTAGAGCCTTCATTTTTGCACTCAGGTCAAAGTCTCGCGCCCCTCTATCAGAATCCAGAGTTTTGAGAAGATTGGAGAAACTTCATTTTTCGCCCGAAAATGAAAAAAACGAAAGGGGTAACACTGTCGTTTTTTTTTTCGGGTCGAAATTTTGAATTTCGATATCTCAGCTCTGGGAGGGTCTAGAGCCTCCATTTTTGCACTCAGGTCAAAGTCTCGTGGCCCTCTATCATAATCCAGAGTTTTGAGAAGATTGGAGAAACTTCATTTTTCGCCCAAAAATGAAAAAAAAAACGAAAGGGGTAACACTGTCGTTTTTTTTTTCCGGGTCGAAATTTTGAATTTCGACATCTCAGCTCTGGAAGGGTCTAGAGCCTCCATTTTTGCACTCAGGTCAAAGTCTCGCGCCCCTCTATCAGAATCCAGAGTTTTGAGAAGATTGGAGAAACTTCATTTTTCGCCCAAAAATGAAAAAAAACGAAAGGGGTAACACTGTCGTTTTTTTTTTCGGGTCGAAATTTTGAATTTCGATATCTCAGCTCTGGAAGGGTCTAGAGCCTCCATTTTTGCACTCAGGTCAAAGTCTCGCGCCCCTCTATCATAATTCAGAGTTTTGAGAAGATTGGAGAAACTTCATTTTTCGCCCGAAAATGAAAAAAAACGAAAGGGGTAACACTGTCGTTTTTTTTTCGGATCGAAATTTTGAATTTCGATATCTCAGCTCTGGAAGGGTCTAGAGCCTCCATTTTTGCACTCAGGTCAAAGTCTCACAGCCCTCTATCACAATTCAGAGTTTTGAGAAGATTGGAGAAACTTAATTTTTCGCCCGAAAATGAAAAAAACGAAAGGGGGTAGCACTGTCGTTTTTTTTTTCGGGTCGAAATTTTGAATTTTGCTATTTCAGCTCTGGAAGGGTCTAGAGCCTCCATTTTTGCACTCAGGTCAAAGTCTCACAGCCCTCTATCACAATTCAGAGTTTTGAGAAGATTGGAGAAACTTAATTTTTCGCCGAAAATGAAAAAAAACGAAAGGGGTAACACTGTCGTTTTTTTTCCGGGTCGAAATTTTGAATTTCGATATCTCAGCTCTGGAAGGGTCCAGAGCCTCCATTTTTGCACTCAGGTCAAAGTCTCACAGCCCTCTATTATAATTCAGAGTTTTGAGAAGATTGGAGAAACTTAATTTTTCGCCCGAAAATGAAAAAAAAACGAAAGGGGTAACACTGTTGGTTTTTTTTCGGGACGAAATTTTGAATTTTGATATCTCAGCTCTGGAAGGGTCTAGAGCCTCCATTTTTGCACTCAGGTCAAAGTCTCACAGCCCTCTATTATAATTCAGAGTTTTAAGAAGATTGGAGAAACTTCATTTCTCGCCTCGAAAAAACAAAACAAAACTGTCGTTTTTTTTTCGGGTCAAAATTTTGAGTTTCTCTGATCTTCTTGAAACTCAGGATTCTGATAGAGGGCCACGAGACTTAGACTTGAGAGCCAAAATGGAGTCTCTAGACCCTTCCTGAGCTGAGATATTGAGATATTTATAATGGCATTAATGCTACGTGGGATCTCAATATCTCAGCTCTGGAAGGGTCTAGAGCCTCCATTATGGCACTCAGGTCTAAGTCTCATTGCCCTCTATCAGAATCCAGAGTTTCAAGAAAATCAGAGAAACTCAAAATTTCGACCTCCCCAAAAAAAAAAAAAGGGGTAACACTGTCGTTTTTTTTTTTTTTTTGCGCAAAAAATAAGTTTCTCCAATCTTCTTGAAACTCTGGATTCATATAGAGGGCCATGAGACTTAGACCTGAGTGCAAAAATGGAGGCTCTTGACCCTTCCAGAGCTGAGATATGGACATCCAGCGTAGCATTTATCCCATTATAAAAATAGTGGTTTATAATGGGATAAATGCTACGTGGGATCGCAATATCTCAGCTCAGGAAGGGTCTAGAGCCTCCATTTTTGCACTCAGGTCAAAGTCTCATGGCCCTCTATCAGAATCCAGTATGGGGGGGGGGGGGGTCGAAATGGGGGGGGGGGGGGTGGTCGAAATTTTTAGTTTCTTTGATCCTCTTGAAACTCTGGATTCTGATAGAGGGCTATGAGACCCGCCCGCCTCACCCCTTTCGGCGAGGCCTCAAAAATTTCGGGGGGCCGGCGCGCTCGTCCTCCAACCCTCGTCCATTTGCCTACGGCCCAAGGACGGAATGGACCTTTTTTTCGGCCTTGGACTAGCTAGAGTTACTGGAAATCGAAATACAGTGACTTGCTGGCAACCGTCCTGCCAGTACTGTAAAAATACAAGAAAACACAGGATGCACACAGGAAATGACTCTAACATGAATGCATTGATTGATTCCTAGGTTTATTTTGTTATGAATAAAGAAATGTGCAACATAAAGGAAAAACCTTATGATTAAGTTGTAATGTTATAATGTTAAAGTTTTTGTTCTAAAAAAGGAAAGATGCACACAGAAAATGACCAGATTGATTGATTCGAATATATTTAGTTTGTTACAAACAATGTGCAATCTGTAAAACAAAAACCTCAAAATTATAGTTGAAATGGTATACTGCTGGAATTTTTTGGACCTTGAGAAAAAGCTTAAAGTATAGACCAACAAATGTTATGTTTATTAATTTATTACATGTTGGTACATTTTTGGGCAGTACACCTGTTTTGACCTGATGTCCATTGGAATGGGCAAAAAAACAAACAAAAAACAAACAAACAATGAAAGCAATTATATAATTTTTTTTTCATTTGTTTTCATTTATACAAACCTCATGAGCTGGGAAAATGTACTTTTATATTTTTCAGAAACTTGAAACATAATTCAGGTCTGAGGGTGTTATTAGTATATCATTTATTTTATATAATGTTCAAACAAATTTCAGGGGCAGCTCTTCATTTGCGTGAATCGTTTGAAGGTCACATGTATGGCAAGAGTTAGTAATATTAAAAGTATCTTGATTTGACAGACAAGGCTTAAATCTAGTCCCAGACTAAAATGTGTTTAAGCTGTTTTAACTGATTTATTAAATGAGCGCTCGTTTCGCTTGATAAGACCCTTATTCATCGTCTGGTGTCGTTTAAAGCCTCTTTGAAGCTGCACTGAAACTGTCTTTTGGACCTTGAACCGTTTGGACCCCATTGAAGTGCATTTTATGGAGAAAAATCCTGTAATGTTTATCAAAAACCTTAATTTCTTTTCGACTGAAGAAAGAAAGACATGGACATTTTGAATGACATGCAGGTGAGTAAATTATCAGCAAAAGTTTTTTTTTAAAAGTGAACTACTCCTTTAATCTAAACACAGTCTATAGGCGCTTTTCCACTGCATAGTACGGTACGGTTCGGTTCGGTACGGCTCACTTGTGGTGCTTTTCCACTGCATGGTACGGTACAGTACGGTTCGCTTCAGGTCGCTTTAAATGGTACCTGGTCTGTTGAGGTTCCAAGCGTACCGTACCGGTACTAAAATGTGACGTGAAACACTGCAGATCACTGATTGGTCAGACAGAATCGTCACTACCAGCGTCACTACTAGCGTCATTGGATTTGCGACACGAGACACGAGACACTTTTTTAGCAGTATTTTTGTTTTGCTGCCATCAGCCTCATTTTAAACACATTTTTCCGTCTAGCAGTTAAAAACAACCACATACCGAGAATCAGGAACACCATCCCCTCGATAGTCTCCATTGTTCCTGTGTTGTGGGTTTGAAAATGTGGCGCTTTTAAGATGATGTCATGGCAGTAGAGGCGCGCGCAAATAACGATCAGTCCCACACACTTTGAAGGGGTACTACAGCAGTGGAAACGCAAAGCGAACCGAACTGTTCCGCGCCGAGTCGAAGCGTACTGAGCCGAACCGTACCGTACTATGCAGTGGAAAAGCGCCATTTGTGTACTAGAAACAAATCCCACAGTAGTAAATATGGATAAAAATATGTAATTAAATCAGTGAAAACCTACCGTCATGCCTGCATTCAAGGACTGACACACACACAGACACCACAGCACACAAATAATATATTTAAAAGATCTTTATTTCCTATGATTAACTAATCGTGGATAAATCTGCATGTAGACGTTCTATTGGTTGGTTTTCACATTGGTTGTACAGGATGACAAGAATAAGCTACACGAATCGCCAGAGGAAAGGCTTTCTTTTTCTTCACTGGCCGATGTGTTCATTTGTAGAAGGGGAATCGAAAGCATGCCAAAGCATCCACGAAAGGAGTCGACAACACTGAACCTCCACACAGGACGAACGGAAAACGAAAGGAAGGCATCAGTTCTTTGGAAGAGTCTTTACGCGATGAATCGGGAGTGTTAGGAGATGTTAGTAAGCCGAGACGTTGGCAGTATTGCATTGGGAAGGTCTTTCTGACTATATGATCCCACATAAGAATGGAAACCTGTCTGAACACAGAGAGGGAAGGGGCGGGGCCAGTCGACTGGCATCCACAGTGTCCCAGGGAAGACTGGGATTTTGTTGCTTGCACCGCAGGGGAACACCAGACCCCTGCAGTTTGATTCACGTCCACACAAGAAACATTAACACATTATCCTACATTGGTCCTATTGCAAAGTACAACGCACAGAAGCAGACAAATATTCCCAAGTAGCAGTTAGGCTGTTCAACCAAACAGAGAGGCATATAAAAAAAATGCAATTATTACACACAACAGACCGAACATTCAATGGAGAATACAAAAAAATATGAGAACAAAAACACATTTGGCCATTAAAAGACTATCTGTGATGATTAATTATCCATCTTGGCTTCTATATGTACTTTGATAAAGACAAACAATCAGCATATGGAAATAAAATGGAAAACTAAGGTTTAAAAGTGTAGTTATTCACACTGTTAAAAAATAATGTTGGTTTAACTTAAAAAATGAAGTAGCCTGGTTGCCTTCAAATTTTAAGTTGATTGAAATGGAAAAAGTGAGTTAATACAATGAAACTCAAAATAATAAGTTATCTGAACTAAGTAAATTATTTAAGTTGATTTGACAAAAGAAAAAATGTTGTGATAACAAATCTTAATTTTTTTTTAAATCATATGCAAACTCTCGACTCAAAAACACCCCAAATTAAATGTACAATGAGCTGTTAGCTGTACACACACATTGCATAATAAAGTCATGCCATTGTACATGTGTTTTTGCAAGCAATCGTGAGAATATATGTTATTGAGAAAACATGAGGGCATCACTTTCAATATTCACATGTTGTGAAGAGTTACAAAACAAAAACCCGTCTTTGAACAGACAGTCGCACTTCTTCATTTTGGCTCAAATGCGTGAAGGTTATTAATATTGATTTCTGTCGAGGTGTTTGTTTTCATCCAGAAACGATGAGCTCTTGCGAGGGCCCATGCATATGGCTTCTAGTTTCAGAAAGCGCTTTTACACACTGTACATCATCAGACGAACCACAGCGTTCAGGTCACGTTTCACATCGAAATCAAAAGAATATTTCACCGAGAGAAAACAGCCTATTTTTATTTATTTTGCATTGGTAGCATACAAATTAAGCATAATTATCGTTATTTTAATGCAAAAAAAAGTCACATTTCTATTCGATTCTTCTGATTTGGTGGTGAAATGTGACCTTTGTGGTGAAACATTCCTGTAAATTCACAAACTGAGCATTTTCACAGAATAAACACAGAGACAAACACATGTTGACTGGACAGTAAAACGAAAATAAATGCAAATCAATCAAGTCAAACTGACGTTACACGCAGCTCTTAATTCAAAAGTCGTTTTTTTACTTTTAAAAACTCTATATTAATATATTCTTAAATGTCGATTTCATAAAATGTGCATTCAGTGCATTATATCTTTCCTCTACATTTTATTATCAAAATGACAAATGCCACACGTACACAATATAATTCTGCTCTATCTTTAAAACATGCTTCTATGTACATCAATTTATAGGGACATGCTGTAGAAACCGCTTTGATCGATGCATATATATACACAAGCATGGAGTGGATCTGAACGCTTCGGATTGCTTTATTTTTAAATGTGGGTGAAGTTTACCACACGCCACTTACCATTCCTTTCCACTAAACACTTTGGCATCTCGGAGATAGCAGTTTACCGAACGAGCCCGGCTGAGTTTGAGCTCAAGGCAGTGTATTGAAATACACAGAGATCACGAAAATCCCAGGAAACATTCACAGCCAGCTTTAGTGAACACGAAGCCTGCCAGATTTATATATGAGAGAGATGCGAACATCGGATTTGGCACTGTAATCGCAGCGATACAGTAAAAGAGTGTGTCTGACTATGTGTAAACATGCTTGACTAGTGTGGAATTTAACATTAATGTACAGTATATTGCAACATCTCATTTATTAATATAGTCTGCACTATTACAAAACCATAGACCTGAATCTGCTTTCTTTTGGGCACATAAATGCCAACGTGTCTAATGATTCAACTCTGACCCGAAGGCCTGCTTTGACATGTAAACAACTCCGTCTTACACTAGTTTACTTTACTCCTGGGATGCTTAACTGAATGAGATCATTGCTTTGTTAAATGTGCAAATGTGTCGATTTTTAGCATTATTTGCACTTTTAATTAGGCACAAAAATCCTGAAATAAAAACCTCATGTAACATAAAATCCAGTTAGCTAGCTGAAAATGTAGAATAATGTGACATGTTGCAACAAAAATGTGTTTTTTTACGTTTACTGATATTTTGTGTGTCTGGGAAATTTAGCCTGCAAGATAAAAAACGGTGGGCAAAATGTCCTTCTTGCTGGCTACGTCTACTTTAGGTGCACATTTACATTCCCAAACGCTCTTTCTGACCAAATGTGTCGCATTTTTTCCATTTCTCCTGCCTCGGTTTGTGGCGAACATGTGATATTGTTCAGTAGTATTTTCTTTCGAGTATTCAGTGTTTTTGGAGGTCAGCGGGCGTACGGATGAGTGTGTGTGTCATGCAGCGGTGGGTGGGTTAGTTAGTGGGTTAGTCAGGCTGAGATGGGAAGAGTTACTTCTTGGCATTCAGGGCAGCCAGAGCGCCGTCGATGTCTTCCTCGGGTTGGAGTGGATGCCACTGGGCGATGGGGCGGCGCGGGTTGGCCAACATGTCGGACCAATGTTTCAGCGCTGTGCTTTGGGCTTTGCTGCCAATGAAGATCTTCCCGATGGCATCGTTCTTGCCGATCTTGTCGTAGTCGAAGACCGTCACCACCACAATGATTTTCTAAAGTAGAAAAACAAACAAAAAATTGTATTACATCTAAAATTATAATGTATAATTAAATAAATAAGTATATTAAAAATATGTGAACATTTTTTTTTTTTTTTATAAAAAATTTAATTTTAGCACTCCAATTTGGGTATATGCTAAATAACATACTTGCATATTCAGGAACATAATACAAAAAACAACAACATTTAAACAATAAACAACTGAGAATACCTGGAAAAAACAAAAAAGTAAATAAAGTAATTTTTTTTAAAAACTATTTTAATTTTTTAAATATTAAAATATAAGTTATAATATATAATGACATACTGTAATATTTTAATATATCAAACCTTTGTGACTATTCAAATCAAATTACATAATTTTAAATATTAAACTATAATAAATAATAAAATTTTATATAGTAAATGTTTGTGACTATGTGAATCAAAATCTATAGACTTTTTTTATTTTTTAAATAATATAATAGTTTAATATATAAAGAAACTGCATCATCTACCTGCATTTGCTCCAGAGGGATCTCAAAGCTGAAGGATTCATTGTAGTACGGGTTCAGTGTGTTCTTCTTCACCGTAGTCTTCTTCTTCTTTAGGCGCTTTCCATTCTGCAACAGCTGGATCTTCACATACGGGTCTGCCGAAGGTCAAATGTCGAGTTAAGTGCATCAAATACATGAATCACGTCTTGCTGGAGACTCAGGGTCTCGTATATCTCAGTTCTCACCAGACAAGCCGCCCACGTCCATCTTCTTCAGGTTCTTGGCCTCGAGGATACAGACGGTCAGCTTGCCCGCAGTAGGAACGTACCGCAGGGAGATGCAGATGTCTCCAAGCTTCTCAGGCTGAGTGGAAAAGATATCAATATGTGAGATCATCTACAAAAGCGTTTGAGGAGACGGATTTAATACATACTTCCTTTTCAAATCTGGCTTGGACCAGTTAAAAATCGATGATCATAATATCAGACTGTCATTAAATACTCACTTCCTCTTTCTCAGCGTTTTCCAGGTCTCTCCACTCTTCAATCGGCTGACCCAGATCCAGAGTGTTCATGGGTAGTTTTACCTCACCGATGATGTCGTGTTTGGAGAAGCGGTCGTAGTCGTACACACACATGACCAGCGTCTTCCCACCCAGCTCCTCGTAGGGCATCTAACATGGAAACCATTGAGAAGAATTGACGTACACAGATTTCAAACAGTTTTTGCCGAGGCGAGTGGAGAGCATACTGTCCTTCGAGTGCTATAATGTTATATAAAGGAGATGTAAACGATTTGCCACAGACAGAAAGGTATAGAGAGACAGATAACCAAATTCATCTTAAAATATATTGTAGAATTTTTTGAGAAAATTAAATATATTCTTATAAAATATATTAAAAGTCTAAGTCTATACACATTTTAAAATATTAAAATATAAAATTATTTTAATAATTTTAAAATTGGAATGACACATTGCATTTACAGTTCATTTTTCTAATCATCTGTGAAAAATAATTAGATGAAAAAACCTCCTCCTCATATTGATATATATATATATATATATATATATATATATATGATGAAACAGTACTCTGTGTCATTTTTGGATACATTAAAAATACATAATAGTCAGGAATGACACATTAAATTGTGTAATATATTAAAATATATTATGACTGAATTAAAGCCTGCTTCCTGCTTTTTCATTTTTTAAACTATTAAAATAAATCCTTTATTATTATTATTATTATTAAAAACAAGTGACTTTGTGAATCCAAACCCATATATATATATATATATATATATATATATATATACACACAAACACACACACACACACACACACACACATATATATATATAATATCTTAAAATATATTAAAACTTTGTGACTATGCCAATTAAACCTATAAACATTTTTTTTCATATTAAAATTTACATTTATAATATATAAATCAAATAATTTTTTAATATTTTAAAACATAAAACATATATATATATATATATATATATATATATATATATATATTTGCATTTAAAGTTCATTTTTCTACTCATCTGTGAAAAATAATTAGATGAAAAAAAACCTCACATTGATTGATTTCATTTGACCACTTAAATTTATATATATATATACAAATGAAACAGTACTCTGTGTCATACATTAAAAATACATAAATAGTCAGGAATGACACAATAAAGCCCAAAGACTTAAGACACATGGCTTTGTTTTCTCGCTCGTAGCGTTACGGCCGATCCATTTTTAGAAACACAGCAGTTCTCTCTGTAAGGCCGGCGCTTTAAACATGGCCAATTGTTCCTGTCCTAGATCAGTTTTCTCAGCGTGAAACTGTTAGACTGTGAGTCTCTAGCGGTGACCACCAGAGGATCCGCGGCCCCTCCGGAGCTCATTACTGAAACTAAAGCTCATTCGGGAACGGCTGGAAGCATTACGATCAAAACGCTGGAGCTGCAAAAAACTGCCAATGAACACTAATGACAGACCAGCAGCCCTGCAGGCAAATCACTGCTTCCACCATATACACTAGTCCTGTTAGTTTTATCATATTACATGTAGTTTTATCATATATTACTTGATTAATTAGACTTAGAGCATATGCTGTCGTTTAAAGGTCCAGTTCTTCATGTTTTTATTGAAGCTTTGATTGTGTTTACAGTGTGCAATATAACATGTGTTCATGTTTCGCGTGAAAAAAACAGTATTTTTCGCACAATTTACTTATCCGTATACTATGGAAGCTTGTTTTCACTGAATAAAATAAATAAATAAATAATTGCAACTATCTCACAACTGCGAGATATGAAGTCAGAATTTTGAGAAATAAAGTCGCAATTGTGAGAAAAGTCGCAAATCTGAGAAATAAAGTCGCAATTGCGAGATATAGTCACAATTCTGAGAAATATAAAGTCACAATTCTGAGAACTATAAAGTCACAATTCTGAGAAATAAAAAGTCACAATTCTGAGAAATAAAAAGCCGCAATTGAGAGATATAAAATCACAATTCTGAGAAATAAAGCCGCAATTGAGAGAAATAAAGTCGCAATTGTGAGAAATAAAGTCGCAATTGTGAGAAATAAAGTCGCAATTGTGAGAAATAGTCGCATTGCGAGAAATAAAGTCGCAATTCTGAGAAATAAAGCCGCAATTGAGAGATATAAAGTCACAATTCTGAGAAATAAAGTCGCAATTCTGAGAAATAAAGTCGCAATTCTGAGAAATAAAGTCGCAATTGTGAGAAATAAAGTCAAAATTGAGAGATATAAAATCACAATTCTGAGAAATAAAGCCGCAATTGAGAGAAATAAAGTCGCAATTGTGAGAAATAAAGTCGCAAATGTGAGAAATAAAGTCGCAATTGTGAGAAATAAAGTCGCAATTGTGAGAAATAAAGTCGCAAATGTGAGAAATAAAGTCGCAATTGTGAGAAATAAAGTCGCAATTGTGAGAAATAAAGTCGCAAATGTGAGAAATAAAGTCGCAATTGTGAGAAATAAAGTCGCAATTGTAAGAAATAAAGTCGCAATTGTGAGAAATAAAGTCAAAATTGTGAGAAATAAAGTCGCAATTGTGAGAAATAAAGTCGCAATTGTGAGAAATAAAGTCAAAATTGTGAGAAATAGTCGCATTGCGAGAAATAAAGTCGCAATTCTGAGAAATAAAGCCGCAATTGAGAGATATAAAGTCACAATTCTGAGAAATAAAGTCGCAATTCAGAGAAATAAAGTCGCAATTCTGAGAAATAAAGTCGCAATTCTGAGAAATAAAGTCACAATTGTGAGAAATAAAGTCAAAATTGTGAGAAATAAAGTCGCAATTCTGAGAAATAAAGTCGCAATTCTGAGAAATAAAGTCGCAATTGTGAGAAATAAAGTCGCAATTGTGAGAAATAAAGTCGCAATTGTGAGAAATAAAGTCAAAATTCTGAGAAATAAAGTCGCAATTGTGAGAAATAAAGTCGCAATTGTGAGAAATAAAGTCAAAATTGTGAGAAATAAAGTCGCAATTGTGAGAAATAGTCGCAATTGTGAGAAATAAAGTCAAAATTGTGAGAAATAGTCGCATTGCGAGAAATAAAGTCGCAATTCTGAGAAATAAAGCCGCAATTGAGAGATATAAAGTCACAATTCTGAGAAATAAAGTCGCAATTCTGAGAAATAAAGTCCCAATTCTGAGAAATAAAGTCGCAATTGTGAGAAATAAAGTCAAAATTGTGAGATAAAAAGTCGCAATTACCTTTTTTTATTTTTCACTAAGTGGCGGAAACAAGCTTCCATAGTATACTGCTGTTTTCACTGTCTAAAAAACGGGCCGATGACTTCCTTGCTCTATGAAGTCCGTCCTTCAGAAATACATAATGAGTTCTGATTGTGCCAGCGGTTCCTGTGTTGTGATTGGACAGCAGCTTATCGCACGTTCCCCGGAAAGGTCAGAGAAGGACGTAGTCCAAACCGGGCGTTCACTGTAGGCTTTGAAATGGGACTTCTGTTAAATAAAATATCTCACTAGGCATTGAACTTTGAGCTTTATAATTTTGCAGGTATTATTTATGCTCTAACAGCAACATTACACACTAACTAAAGTTTGAAAAATTGAATCGGGAAGAACAGGACCTTTAAAAATGGTAAACAGCTTACCTTGAAGACAAAGGTTTCATTGAACACTGGGTTGAGGGTCTTTTTGTGGACCTTGGTGTCAAACTTTTTCTTCTTATCTGGTAGGATGAACACTTTAACGTAAGGATCGGATGTTCCACCGGAGTCCATGGAAATCAGGTCGGCACATTGCAGGATTCCCACTGTCAGCTGTGGAGAAGAGCGTAGCATGAAGCAAGAGATTTAATGCATGAAAGGAATTTCTGAAAGGAATCCCAAATACGATCTCGTTAATATATCAATGAGATTAAATGAAACAGATGTTTCTTAAGGAATTTATAACACAATTTTCCTTTGGGATGTGCTCTGAAAGGGCCATCAGGCTTTATGCATACATTTAAATTGAATTATACACTGAAGTTTTATTCATAAATTCACTACTGTTCAAATGAAATCAATACTTCTATTCAGCAGGGATACGTTAAACTGATCAAAATTTACATTAAGGAGATTTATAATGCAACAAATACTCTACAAATAAAACTTGCCAAATAAAATGCATCACGGTTTCCACAAAAATATGAAGCAACCGTTTTCAACATTGATAATAATCCGAAATTTTATCAAATCATCATATTAGAATGATTTCTGAAGGACTAACTAATTTATCTTTCTTTCTAACCTATCTTTCATTCTTTCTTACTAATCCATCTATCTTTATTTCTAACTAATCTATCATTTTTCTTTCTAACAAATCTATCTATCTATCTTTTTTCTCTCTAAATAATCTTTCTTTCTTTCTAACTAATCTATCTTTTTTCTTTCTAACTAATCTATCTTTCTTTCTAACTAATCTATCTTTTTTCTTTCTAACTAATCTATCTTTCTTTCTAACTAATCTATCTTTTTTCTTTCTAACTAATCTTTCTTTCTTTCTAACTAATCTATCTTTTTTCTTTCTAACTAATCTTTCTTTCTTTCTAACTAATCTATCTTTTTTCTTACTAACTAATCTTTCTTTCTTTCTAACTAATCTATATTTTTTCTTTCTAACTAATCTTTCTTTCTTTCTAACTAATCTATATTTTTTCTTTCTAACTAATCTTTCTTTCTTTCTAACTAATCTATATTTTTTCTTTCTAACTAATCTTTCTTTCTTTCTAACTAATCTATCTTTTTTCTTTCTAACTAATCTTTCTTTCTTTCTAACTAATTTATCTTTTTTCTTTCTAACTAATCTATCTTTCTTTCTTTCTAACTTTACTTTATTTCTTTCTAAATAATCTTTCTTTCTAATCAATCTTTCTTTCTAACTAATCTTTTTTTCTAAGATTTTTCTTTAGTATTTATATCGTTTTTACCTCTTGTAGAAGTGATCGTCCAAGTGATCTGAGGGTGCGGGCGCTTTGTGGCTGTGTTTACAGGAGGTAAAAACGATATAAATCCTGTTCGTTTTCTCACACAAACCGCTCGTTTCGTGTCTTAGGCCATCAATGTGTACTTACATTTACGAGTCATTAAATCATGTTTAATTTGGACTTCTCTGTGCATGCTTTTTGAGGTGGTGACCATAGACCTCCATTATATGACTGACAGACAAGAACGGTTTGACCTTAAAATATCAATTGAAACTACTGCGGAAACAAAGACACCTACATCTCGGATGCCCTTGAGGTAAGATAAAACATACCAAAAATTAATTTCAAAGTGAACTATCCCTTTAATGCGACATCCTAACCTTGTTATCATTGAAGTCATAATCCAAAGAGTACTGAAGCTTTCCAAGTTTCTCCACTTCTTTTTCCTCTTCCTCTTTCTCCTCTTCTGTCAAACCAGTTTCTCCTTCTTCATCATCATCATCCTGGTTTTTCTGTGGGGCAAAAGGTAAATGGTTTTAGTAAGTGGTAATCTGGGTTGACAGTAAGCCCGGTTCCTTTCTATAAGCATGCCACAAGCTCAGTCGCCGTAAAGGTTGGACAGATGCTCTATCAGGCCGGACCTGCAATAGCGGACTACAGGAGTAATGCTGTCATTCAGGGCTGGATGCTGCAAATGACTCGAGTTCACAATTTTAATTGGTGACACTTTTCTATTTGCTTATCTTTAGAGCTGAACTTCTTCCATAATAAAATTACATTTTGACTATATTCAAATTAGGTATTTGGTACACTCTAAAAAAAATACTGGGTTGTTTTAACCCAAATTTGGGTCAAATATGGACAGACATTTTTTTCATTCAATTTGTAACCCAATGTTTGAGTTTGTCTATATTTGACTGAAAATCGGGTTAAAACAACCTAGCATATTTTCGAGTGTAGTACTAGAGCAGCCTTTCTCAAACTTTTTTCAGTCAGGGCACCTTTCAAAAGTGCATAAAATCTCAAGGCACCCCAGTGTAAAATATAATTTAAAAACACTGCATAACCCAAATTTAAATGCAAATGTCTTGTTTAGTTAGACAGAACAGTAATGAACAGAGCATAATATGAACTGTAAATAACAATAATAATAAAAACTTTATAGCACCTTTAAAAACACAGGTTTGGAAAGTAATTCACAAAATAATTAATCAGAGACACAAATGCCATAAAACCGTAAGAGGTGGACCGCCCAATACAAGAACCCAATAACAAATCCAGACCAGGAGAACTCAAATGAAGTGCAGGATGCAGATAAAATAAAATAAAAATCCCCGGCTCTTATGGGGATTTTCTTTTCAAAAAACGATCCATAATGCTGTAACTAAAGTGGCCTAAATTCACGTTTATTTTTACGTTTCTGTCAGTCTGAGGTGTTGCTATAACGCGTTGCTATGGATTGCGTCACTTGCGTCAAGTTGTGTGTGTCTTGCTTCGGTCTTGTGAGTTTTTTATGATTAATTTTATATATTTATCTAAAATGAATTTACAATTTTATTAATATGTTCATATGTTTAAAAAGAAGAATGTAAATTCAAATATATTTATATATGAAATGTCAGCTGTTTTTTTTCTGGGGTTTTTTTTTTTTTCAAATTTTTTTTGGCGGCACCCCTGAGACAGCTAGGGGGCACCCCAGTGTGCCGCGGCACCCACTTTGAGAAAGGCTGTACTAGAGAACAATGAGAGGAGCTTTTATTGATATGCATAATTCAGTGTGCAAGCATTTTCTCATCATCAGCATGATAAATTTAACTGTTCATCAGTGATACTCCAGGGAATAAGCGGTGAACGGCAAATGTTTAAAGAAGAACAGACTCCTTTGTGCTATTCTGGGCATATGAAATGCTGACATGTCGTTTTAGTGTATTTTTGAACATCATCCAAACTGCAGGAAGAGAAAACTAAATCTGTAATGTGTTTTTTTTTATAATTCCAGCATCATGCAGTGGCCCCAAAAATGTATTTAGACACTAAGACACACTTCATTAGATCAGGGGTTTTAAATACATTATTACAATCACTAACTATATCAATCTAAAACACATTTAAATGATATTTCAACATATCAAATAAAGTGCATATCAAATGCCACTTGGATTGATATTTTGTTATCTAATGCAATGACATTCCGACATTGTTGATTGTGTTAAAATATTTTTTGGGGTCACTTTATGTGAAGATGCTGCATAACAGAATTATTATGTTATGTGCATATGGCAAGCCGTTTTAACTTTTATTCATTTCCAGGATATGAATTCTTGATATCAACAATTGTATTTTCACTAGCGAAATGTCACCATAGGCTGCAATTCAAAACCAATTGTTGATATCAAGAATAGATTTCTTACTAGTTGAAATCCCAATTTCACATATCAGAAATACAATTAATACTAGTAAAAAACTTTATTTTTGATGTCAAGAATTAAATTGTTACTAGTTGAAATGTCTATTCTTGATATCCACAATTGAATTGTTACTAGTAACAATGTTAATTTTTTAAACCAATAATTCCATTTTTACTAGTGACAATGTTAATTTCTGACATCATGAATGTGATTGTTACTAGTAAGAAAGCCATTTTAGATATCTGAAATAATTTTGATATCAGAAATAAATAGAAATTTAGAATAGACATTTCAACTAGTGACAATTTAATTATTGATATCAGGTATTTGCATTATTACTAGTAACAATGTAATTATTGATATCAAAAATGATATTTCTACTAGTAAAAAATCAATTCTTGATATCAACAATTGATTTTGAATGGCAGCCTATGGTGACATTTCACTAGGGAAAATACAATTACAGATATCAGCAAATAAATTGTTGATATCAAAAAATGTAATTGTTGATATTAACAATTGAATTCTTGATATCAACAATTCATATCCTGGAAATGAATAAAAGCTAAAACAGCTTGCCATAATGTGCATGACATTGGTGCTCAAAATTTTCACTTAATTTAAAAGAAAAAAAAAATCTCAATTTTCCATAAGGACTGTAAACTGATTAAAGAGTAAATAATTATTATGTCATATGAATAATATGTTATGTGCATGCTCAAAAGTTGTATAATTGTATTTGCAGACTGATTAAAGATGTCTTAATGTGCCACCAAACAAAAATTGTCATTCTCAAGTCAGTTCCTAACCATACCCATCTAGCAACAAATTAAAGGGCACAGCAGAATATGTGCTAATTGATCATATGTTTTGAAAAACTGATTATATGATCATAGAACAGGAGCTTATATGACAAGCAAAATAAAAATATATATATTTTACAGCTGTAGATATTTGAAGGTTTACAGTGCAGTTAAAACAGCCATGCCCTTTAAACACATGCATTCATAGTGAGTTTTGTGGGTCGTCTCTTGCTAACTTGCCAGTATTAGTGGGTTAATAATCAGCTAACACATTTATGTCTCTTTGTTATTGTAGTATCATTCTTTTTTGGGCTACTTAAGTGGGGTTTTCATTCGCATTGTAACTTTCCTTTGTTTTTACTTGTATTCTTGTCAAACAGCAGGTACAAAAGCCTTAAAACAAGGAAGTTACAACAACAGCCATTCCATCCAATCCCACCCACGCGGTGCTAGCACTCAGCGAAACAGCTGTGCCGTTCATCCGTACACCTACCGTAGCGCCAACGCCATGAGCGTCAAGAAACGCGGCGCATTAGACACATAGCGGGAGGAAGGAGAGCAGAGAGAGAGGGAGAGGTTGAACTCACAACACACCAAAAAACACAACGAAACACAGTCAAAAACAGCAAGAGAACCATTTGGAGAAATGACACTGTGATGTTTAAGACATCTGTATGAATAAAGGCTTAGGATCAGATCATGAAATGAGTGTCTTTTCCGTATCAAATGATTTCTGTAAGGCTGTAGATGGATATTTTATCAGACCAAAAAAGGTCTTATTAAAGGGATATTCCACTTTTTTGGAAATAGGCTCATTTTACAACTCCCCCAGAGTTAAACCGTTTCCGTTTTCAATTCATTCAGACAATTTTCTGATATTTAGAAGAATATTAGGTAACACTTTATAATAACTGCACGCTATTAATCATTAGTTAAGCATGAGTAAACAGTTAATTCATCATTTATAAAACATTAATAGACATTAATAAGCAGTTTATAAATATGCTTTTTTCTTGATTTATAAGCATATCTATAATGCGTTTAATGATTGTATTTTCATACTTTGTTAATGATCAATTAATAATTTCTAAATGAAGTATAACATTATTTGCAAACCAGTTGTTTAAGAGTTGTCAGTCATTTATAAGATCACTTAGAAAGTGTAAGTAAATGTAGTAAATACAGGTAGTTATAAAGCATTTAGTAGTGGTCAGTTAACTTTTTTTGTGAGCTAATCTAAAGTGAGGACTATTCATGCTTTGTAAAGCATTTATAAAGGCGATTTAAAGACTTGTCAATCTTCTAAACAGTAAAATGTAACAAACACAACGCAGTGATACAGAACATAGAAATATTTAACAGCCTTTAAAAATGCTTTACAAGGCATGACTAGTCCTCACTTTAGATTAGGTCACAAAAATAGTTAACTGACCACTACTAAATGCTTTATAACTACCCAAATTAATCCTTAATTACAGCATTAATACATGTTAATAAAGCATTTATTAACACATTAAGTAACCATCACTATATGTCTGAATAATAAGATGTATGAATGTACATTTAAATAGTTTATTAATCATTTACTTACTCGCTCTAAGTAATCGTATGAACCACGGACAACTCTTAAATAACTGGTTTATAAAAAATGCAATTCTTCATTTAGAAATGATAAATTGATCATTAATAAAGGATGAAAATACAATTATTAAACAAATTATAGATATGCTTTTAAATCAAGAAGAAAGCATTTATAGCTGTATTTATGAACTGCTTATTAATGTCTATTAATGCTTTATGAATGATGAATTAATGGTTTACTCATGCTTAACTAATGATTATGAGCGTGTAGTTATTATAAAGTGTTACCGAATATTAGTTAGGGATACACGATATATCGGCCAGCGTATCGGTATCAGCCGATATATGTTCATTTTTAATGTTATCGTTATCGGCCTGGTAAGAAAATGTGGCCGATATATTAAAGCCGATAAATAATGCATTATTCCCTTCAGCTGAGACACTTGTTGAGCACTGTTTATGTTTTTGAATTTCTTGAAATATGATTGAAATCTCTTCAAAAAATAAAAATACGGTTCGGTACAACATGTGCAACGCAAATCTGTCATATCGGCTACACAACACTATAATGAGAACATCATTAAAATTGTGCGCTTGGGACATGGATTTAATTGTGAGACTTTTGTATTTGTAATCAGGCTCTCAAAATTAGCAAAAAATTTGGATTTAAGTTTATCGGCCGATATATCGGTTATCTGCTTTCAAATATAAAGAATTATCGGTTATCGGTATCGGCTAAAATTTTCATATCGGTGCATCCCTAATATTAGTAACCAGACAGTTTCCATAGTAGGAAAAAATATATACTATGGAAGTCAATGAGACCAGAAACTGTCTGGTTACTGAAATTCTTCTAAATATCAGAAAATTGGCTGAATGGATTCGAAAAAAGGTAAAACTCAACTGTTTCAATGACATTTCTGTATTTAAAATCCTTTTTATGTAAAATTGTAATTTTGAATATGGGGTTTTCATAAGCTGCAAGCCATAATCATCAAAATTATAACAAATAAAGGCTTGGAATATCTGACTTTGCAACGAGTACATTAGTTTCACATTTTAAAGCTGCAGTGCGCAGTTTTTCCTCTTTGTCGCCATCTCTGTTGGAAATCTGCAATTGCAGTCATTCGCGGAGCTATCAACTGTAGCTGTAGGTTAACTCTGAGCTCAAGCCGAGCCTTGCGTTCGAGCCTCCTCCAAGCTCTCGTGACTCTCCTATTCAAACTCGTTCATCAAAAATGGCCAAATGACACGAAAAAAGATTCGTTCATTTTGATAAACAAGTTCGAACAGGAGAGTCACGAACGCTCATCACAAAACAGAGCAAGACGACCATTTGAGCTTATAAAACGAAAACGTTATTTTTTATTTTTTTTAAATGAGCGATCGTTCCGCTAGGTAAGACCCTTATTCATCGTCTGGAATCGTTTAAAGCCCTTTGAACAGTTTGTAGTTTGCACTGAAACTCTCATTTGGACCCCATTGAAGTCCATTATATGGAGAAAAATCCTGGAATGTTTTCACCAAAAACCTTAATTTCTTTTCGACTGAAGAAAGAAAGACATGGACATCTTGGATGACATGGGGGTGAGTAAATTATCAGCAAATGTTTTTTTAAAAGTGAACTACTCCTTTAAGTCTGAAAGGGCAGCCGAAATAGTGAATGTAATATTAACATATTCTGTATCGTTATTTCATTATATAACTATTACATAATTAAAGGCACTCATTTTGAAGAATGACCCTTAAAGCTCCAATCTTTTTATGATTAAAATCACAAGAGAAACATGTTTGGGAACATCCAGTGTACCATTTCTCTTCCAAGAAAACAAAACACTCACATTACTCACGAACACAATAAAGCAAATCACATAACAGACTCCCTCATAATCAGTGTAACCCGTACTAAAGTGGTCTGAGGCTTGTTTTCATTTCTTAATGATGCAATACTAATTTCTGTTGATATGCCCATAATACAGACTTTAATATAATCTAGTTTTAATTCTCAAACCAAACTGATTGGAGTGTGCATTTGGGGTTTTAACTACGTTATTTAATGGCGTCATGGTGGGTGCTATTGAACGCCGTTACATACATCGCCACCCTGCATGTTCTTCATGTTGAAGCCGTCCTTTCCCTTTTTGCCTTTCTTGTTCTTCTTCTTCTTACAGCAGCATTTCTTAATGATACAGAAGCAGCAGGTGAGGACGAGGAGCGCGGCCACGACAGCAATGGCGATGAGCGCCCATGGAGGCACTGCAGAGCATTATGGGAAAAAGAAAGACAGAGCCATTCAGACGTCAGGTGACGTGTTATTCCTTAAACATCCACCTAAAAAGATGACATGAAATGCTACAAATACAAACATGTTTTTAATTAACGTTTTTAATTAACTGAACTGTTGACTTGAAGGATTACAAGAAGAAAACAGATCATCTTAAAAGGATAGTTCACTTTGAAATTAATTTTTGGTGTTTTAGTTTACCTCAAGGGCATCAATTTTGAAATTTTTAGGTCAAACCGTTCTTGTCTGTCAGTCATATAATGGAGGTCTATGGTCACCACCTCAAAGCGCATGCACAGAGAAGTCCAAATTAAACATGATTTAATGACTTGTAAATGTAAGTACACATTGATGGCCTAAGACACGAAACGAGCGGCTTGTGTGAGAAAACAAACAGTATTTATATCATTTTTACCTCTGATCCACGTCCAAGTGAGGTGGTGACCATAGACCATAGTTCGTTTTCTCACACAAACCGCTCGTTTCGTGTCTTAGGCCATCAATGTGTACTTACATTTACGAGTCATTAAATCATGTTTAATTTCTACTTCTCTGTGCATGCTCTTTGAGGTGGTGACCATAGACCTGCATTATATGACTGACAGACAAGAACGGTTTGACCTAAACATATCAAAATTAAAAAATACTGCGGAAACAAAGACACCTACATCTTGGATGCCCTTGAGGTAAGATAAAACATACCAAAAATTAATTTCAAAGTGAACTATCCCTTTAAGTTGCTCTTTATTGAATTGCACTTCTAGTTTAGAATAAAAATGTCACTTTGAGTGTCGAACAATTCGGCTAGAATTTAAATCCATGAAGCATCTTCAGGATATTGATGCACCATTGATTTTCTCGATGGTGAAAACATCTCCGCAGGACTTACATGGGATTTTATCGATCTCATTGAGGAACTTGCTTTTGATTTCCTCAAAGACATCATTCTTGTTGACGGGCGCCTCAGATTCGGTGGAGTTGTCCGCAGGCGTGGAGACGGCGGGGGCCATCGTCATGGTGTGTGACGCGTGTGTGACGCCGAGTCCCGTGGGCTCCGGGCCCACCATGGCTTCTGGTTTCTTTTTAAAGAGGTTCCACTTCATAATCTCTGGCTTGACCACTCAGGAACCCTGAGAACACAAAAATACACTGAAGTCATGCATGCTTTTTGATCTCACGGACATCTGTGGCTTTCAAAAACGTCAGCGCCCACCGTCTGTCATATTGAATGCAGGAAGGGTGCAGTTTTCAAA